GTGTAAATTGCTTTTGGTAGTATTGCCATTTTCACAACATTGAGTCTTCCTATCCATGAGCAAGGGATATTCTTCCACTTTTCAAGATCTCTTTTTGAGAAACCATGCTTCTTTAGAATGGTTCCTTTAAAAAGAATGGGCCACATTTATGTTTAGTGGCACAACCGAGCTAGTACAATGTTTGGCCTACACAGTAGATTAACACTTGGAAAAAATACAACTGAAAAATTTCAGATGTCTAACTTACCTGCAAAAATCAAGAGCTCCAATAATCGTACTCTTGGTATCATATGGTACTCTTATTTGGTAAATAATGTAATGATAACTAGAGTTAAGTGTTAGCTGCCTCTTCCTCTACCTTTATTTATTAGTTTGTGAATAATTCCCATATACTGTGCTTCATTCATTGTTTAAAATCCTATAAAACACATTGTATTTTATATAATGAATTACTATTGACATTTCAAGTTCCCACTGAATCTTTCCTATTCCTTCATTACCCCAACTGCCCACTTCTCTGATATCCTACTGATTTCCCTCCTTCACCTTTCTCACCTTTTCCCTCTTCCCCATTTAAACATTTATATACATCTTACTAAGTTATCCTTCTATTTTCACAAGATGGTCTTACGTAGTTTTTATCCCTATGAAATTGAGTTAGTTCACTATGTTCTCCTATGTTATACAGTATTTTACAAATTCATTGTTCCTTAGAGCTGCACAGTATTCCATTGTGTGAATGTACCACAATTTGTCCATCCATTTGTTTATTGATGGACATTTGGGCTGTTGCCATTTTCTTGCTACTGTGAATAATGCGGCTGTTAACATAGAAGTACAAATCTCTTCGCCTCTCAGTTCTAATAACCCTGTATTCCTAGCAATGGGATAGGTAGATCATGTGGAATTTCCATGTTCACTTATTTTTTTTTTTAGGAAATGTCAAATGACCTTCCGGAGTCAATGTACCATTTCACAATCCCACCCCACCAACAGTACATGAGAGTTACAATCTCTCCACATCCTCTCTAACATTTATTGCTTGCTGTACTTTTAAACTTTGCTATTGCTAGTGGATTGAGATGGTATCTTATTTAGTTTTGATTTGCATCGCTCCAACTGCCAGTGATTTTAAGCATTTCTTCATGCATCTGTTGGCCATCTGAAAGTCTTCCTTTGTGAAAAGTCTTTCCATGTCTTTTGTCCATTTTGTTATTGGATTATCATACTTTTTCTTGTGGAGGCTCCATAGTATGCTGTAAACTTTGGTTACGAGAACTTCGTCTGAGATAGATAGTATTGCCAAATGTTTTTTGGTTTTCTTTTCACCCTACTGGGGTGCACACAGGGACTTTATTTTTAGAAGGTCCCATTCATCAATTTTATCCTCTCTGAGTTGTGCATTTCTGGCTATATTTGCAGCCTATTTATATCATAGGCTAAGCCTTCTAA